TTTTATGCTGACAACTTGTAAGAGGTTCGGAATGCACCCTCACGTCACATGGAATTATCCCGTTATGATGATTCCAAGCTTTGCAGGGGAAATTCGTCAGAAATTTCCAACGGGTCGTGTTAAGGACTTGAAAATGTCACATTTCATGTATCCATTACTTCCTATATCCTGAAGATAAATTTGGACTAATCTTATTACCAATCACACCTTTGGTTTCCTATGTATATTTGGGATGATAAACACACACACACACACACACACACACACACACACACACACACACACACACACACTCATTTATATATATATATATATATATATATATATATATATATATATATATATATATATGTATATATTTATATATTTATATATATATATATACATATATATATAATATATATATATATATATATATATATATATATATATATATATATATATATATATACTTGATCAACTATCTCATTTTTCAGTTGTAAAGATACAACAAAATGAGTATTGGAAACATTGCATTGCCGACTCGAAACTAACCGTAAACTCAGCTATGATGTTACACACTTATAACGGCATTATATATATATATATATATATATATATATATATATATATATATATATATATATATATATATATATATATATATATATATATTATATATATATATATATATATACATATATATATATATATATTATATATATATATATATATATATATATATATATATATAAATATTACATATATATATATATATATATATATATATGTAATATTTATATATATATATATATATATATATATATATATATATATATATATATATATATTTATATATATATATATATATATATATATATATATATATATATATATATACATATATATGTGTGTGTGTGTGTGCGTGTGTGCATAATACGTACAGAGAGAGAGAGAGAATACAAGAGAAACCGCGAATGGCAGCAGAGAGATCCCCCCGCCCCCCACCTTGCTTGATCACTAGCTGACAAAGAGTAACCCGGCAGAGTAAGCAGGCGCGGCGGAGGTCAGGAACATTGTAAGAAGTTGAAAGACAATCGATATAAAACAAACAGACCCGGTATCTTTTTCGACTTATGAGAATAAGGTAAGACTGTCTGTTATCTTATCGGATTCTATTATTCGTTGTTACTGTTATAGCGGCGCTAAAATTATAGTAAAAAAACACTTCAGGGAAAGATTCTGATTCGCTCTTACGAGAAAGGTATTATCAGTAAGCCTTGAAGCGAACTGAAATATAATCCTGTTAAATTTATGAAAATCTCACATAGCCTCCTGGGAACCTTTGCTCTAAGAGATTCCACTGAAAGCACAATAGATGCCCAATGCTGCCTTCGTATACCACGGACAACGATCTCGCAGAATTCAGTACTTCGTTCCATTCCTGTTATTGAGGTAATAATTTCAATGCAACTGACATTATCTATCATCATAAAGGAATTCTATATATCTACTACTTTTGATATCAATTATGATTTAGTGGCACGAGATTAACCTGAAAAACTAATTAAACAAAAAAAATCTGAAACTATCTGTCAGGATAAACTTACAGTAAAAGTACTTGCGTGATTTATCTATAGTACCAAATCAATATCATCTTCTAATTTTACTAATTACGTTTGTCTTTCGCCGGTGACAAACTCTCAAGTGTAGGCGTCCCGCACACTGACGCAACTGGTTGCTTGAAACCAGTTGCATGTGAAAAACTGGTTGCATGCTTTGCCGCACACTGAAGCAACCATAATTTAGCAGTTGCATTCAAAATGTCAGACGGCGAGGATGTTTGTGTTCTATGGTGGTGGCTGAAAAGCAAGAGGAAGAGGAGAAAGTATTGGATGCATCCTCTTTTAGCAGATAGAACGCAAAGTTGCTACAAAATTGCGAAAGAATTAGATGTAGATGAAGAAAAATTTCAAAATTTCTACAGGATGAGTAAACCTGCGTTCCAAGATCTCCTAGAACTAGTCGGCCCTCAAATACAAAAGAAGGATACAAACTGCAGGATGGCATTGAGAGATTATTTCATGAATTTCAAATGAAAATAGAATCCTACTTCCAATTTGGTTCATTCCTACCAAAAATCGTTAGGTTAAATGCATACATTATATACATGCAGGTCGTGTTATTAAGCTATAACTAGTGAATGGTTAATGGTTAATGGTTAAAAGCAAGATAAATGTGCTAGACATCTAAGGTCATGTAGCACTATAGTTAATGTTAGTGAAAGGTGGTTGAGTTAGTGGTTAGTTGTCTAAGCTGGGCAAAGGAATTGGTGAGTTAAAGGGTTAAGGTCGGGTGTTAGATTAGATAAAGGATATGTATGTGTTTGAGGAAAGAGAACAGGTTGTTGATGCAGAAAGTGTGGGATTCTGTAAGGATGTCTGATAGGTTGGGAGGTCGGTGAAGGGAGGATAGGTGGGGGAAAGCAGAGGTACGGGCTGCTTCAAAACGTGGGCACGACAATAGGATGTGTACGATTGAAAGGGGAACATTACATAAGGAACATAGGGGTGGATCAGATTGTGACATCAGATAGGAGTGTGTTAGACGGGTGTGGCCAATGCGTAAGCGGGCGAGAGCAGTCTCCCAACGTCTGTTCCGATGAAATGGAGCTGACCAGGAGGAGATTGATAGTTTTACAGAATGTAATTTATTAGTGTGGAGGCTTGACCAGAAAGATTGCCATCGTTTATACAAGAAGGTCTTAAAGTGTGGGTAATAATCCGTGGCTGGGATATGTGAGAAGCGTGGTTGGTATGATGTGGACATAGCAGCGTGGCGTGCTAGTGTATCTGCCTGTTCATTGCTGGGGATTCCAACATGGCTGGGCACCCAGCAAAATTTGATTGTTTTATGGCGTGTGGACAGGTAGAACAACCAGTTCTGGATCTTACAAACAAGGGGGTTGGTGCTGTGTATTGACTTAATGAGAGTTAATGAGCTACGGGAGTCAGTAAAAATTGTAAAAGAGGAAGAGGAGAGTGAGTATATGTGTTTTAGGGCAAAAATGAGTGCATACAGTTCAGTAGTAAGGACACTGGATTCAGGAGGAAGGGAGTATTTGAAAGTACGAGTTGGGAATATTACTGCAAAACCAGCACCAGAGGTGGATTTGGAGCCATCAGTATATATGTGTATACTAGAGGAATGGGTGGAGACATGGTCAAGGAAATGGATGAGAATGACAGTAGGAGGAATATTTGATTTTGGTGGGTCGGGGAAAACAGAAGAGCAAATATGGGGGTGAGGTATAAGCCATGGAGGGACGGAATGGACAGAGAACGGGAGAGGTTGGAGATGGGGGAAAGGAAAGAGAATGGGAGAGGAGGGTATCCATGCGAGTGGAGAAAGGAGTAGGTAAGCGTGGAGATGAAGCTAAGGTAGGAAGTAGGGATTGTGGGATAGTTAGTTTAGTGAGGGGAAGTTAGTGGAAACGAACATAACATCGGAGTGAGAGCAGGGCACGACGTCGAGATAGAGATGGTATGCCTGATTCAGTATACAGGCTCTCAACTGGAGAGGAGCGGAAGGCGCCTAGTGCTAAGCGAAGACCACAGTGATGGATTGTGTCAAGATGGGCAAGGAGAGAAATTGAGGCAGAGGAGTAGATATGGCATCCATAATCAAGAGTGGAGAGGATCAAAGTAACATGAAGATGAAGAAGAGTTTTGCGATCTGAGCCCCATGATATATGGGATAGAGTTTTTAAAATTCGAAGGCGGCGGAGAGCTTTTTCTTTAATGTGTAGAATATGGTCTCGCCAGGTCAGTTTGGAGTCAAAAATGACGCCTAGGAATTTGCCAGAGGAACGGCATTGGAGTGGAGTGCCATATAGGAAGAGTGGGGGTAGGGGATTTACACGTGAGCGAGAGAAAAGGATGGAGAAAGATTTAGAGATAGAAAAGCGGAAGCCATGGTTTGTGGCCCATGAAGATACTGATGAGATTGCAGATTGAAGAAATTGGTAGAGATTTAGTATGGATGTGCCAGATGCATAGATGGTTAAATCATCAACATATAGTGATGACCGGGCTCCTGGTGGTAAAACTGAGACAATATCATTAACAGCTAGAAGGAATAAAGTGGTACTGAGCACACTGCCTTGTGGGACACCTTCAATTTGAGGAAAGAAAGATGATGTGGCAGAAGCAATTTTGACCTGAAAAGTGCGTTGGGAGAGGAAAGACTTTATGAAGACACCCATGTTTCCACGTATGCCTATTTTTCTAGATCAAAAAATATAGCTAGTACGGATTCATGGCGTGCAAATGCGGATGTAATATATGTCTCAAAATGAGCAAGGGGGTCAGCTGTGCTTCTGGCACGGCGAAAACCGAATTGGGAAGGAGACAGAAGATTGTGAGATTCAAGATACCACATTAAGCGGAAGTTCACCATTCGCTCTAATAGTTTGCACAAGCAGCTAGTTAGTGCGATGGGGCGATAGTCTTGAGGGAGGGTACCCGATTTATTGGGTTTCAGGAAGGGAAGGATAAGAGCTTCTCGCCAATTAGAAGGAAAATTTCCTGATGTCCATATGTGGTTGTAAATTTTTAATAGGAAGGATAAGGAGGAAGATGGGAGTTGCCGGAGCATACGGTAGTGAATCTTCTGAAATCATCACACGCAACTGGGTCGCATGAAACCATTTTGGTACGTTGCAAGCGACTTCAGTTGCTCGGTTGTATACAACTTTAGTTTCAAGCAACTCAGCGTGCGCGTTTCTATGTATTTGTATTGAATGGTTGCATGCAACTTAAATCACACGTTGCATGCAACTGGCTTCAAGCAACCAGTTGCGTCAGTGTGCCTTAGTCATCAGATACGTGAACTGTGATTCTTGAAAATAGTAATAATAAAACAAAACATAATAATAATTATTATAATAGTAGTAGTAATATAATAATAATAATAGTAATAATAATAACAATAGTAATAATATGGATATAATGCTAGGGAAAGTAATTTAACTGACATCCATACAAAGATGCCACAATTTTATTTCAAGGAAACATAAAATATAGTAACAAATCTTTCGAATAAGACAAATACAATAACAATGATTTTACGTAGTGATGTAGGATCAGAATTCTAAAGGCTCTATCACACTAGCACGTCATTTTTTGCGATTCCACATGGGTTTTCTCTATGCAAATGGACTGACCCTATCACACTGCCAGCAAAATAGTGCCCATGTGAGATCCCGCGAATCACGTTTATTGAAATACATACTATTATGTACATTGTATATAGAAATATTCTAGAATATGAACACCTATTTACATTAATTTATTTTATCAAATTAACAATAAAAACACTCGTATAGAGTCTCCGTGGCACAAAATCAAGACGGAAATTAGATTGACGGAAACTTTCGCAACCGTCATCGTCTTGGAGGCGATATTTGCGGAGAGCCTTAAATTGACGGAAAACGTGCTAGTCTGTTATAGGACCTTAAGGCGCAACAGAGAACAATGAACACATGAAGCTAAAACAAAATATTTTCTGGAAATACCACTACGATACGAGTGAATTAACGGTTTTGAAAGACGTGAATACCGTGGATCCACACATAGAAAACGGAACCTTCGTATATAAAATTACTCAAGAACGGTTAATATCATCATAAAAATTATGATTAACTAAACCTTTTCCCTTCTAGATAAATCGTTCCTTTGTTTCCTAATTTATGATATGTATATATTATTTACTTTATTATAAAAAAAAAAAAAACTTAAAAGAAAAGAAAAGGTTACTTCATTTACCAAAGTATAATAGAGTTCTGATAAGTATAAAGTGTACATTCAAAACCATTTAAAAAACATTTAAACTTTGTTTTTATATTTACACAAAATCATCAT